AATACGTTTATTCGTTTCCTGAATCTTGAAAAGGAAAGTGCTAAGAAAATATTTTAAAAAATATAAACAGATAGTATATCACACAAATTATAATGAGTCAGTGTTATTTTATTTGAGAGTGCTGGAGAAAAGTAAGTACATTATTTTTTATTAAATTTTAGTTTTGTACTCGTAGTTAGCAAAGATAGATAAATTACGCCAATCATGACTTTAGTTATCAGTAGTTAAATATTCAATCATGCAAAATTACACGAGTACTCCTCAATAGTTTCTTTTTGAAAGTTTTAGCAATCGGTAATATAATTACAGTGCAATCTCCGTAATTCGAGCTAATTGTTGCAAGAAGATGTTCGAATTATGGAATGTTTTCGGAAAAATCAAAAAATATTTTTAATATACAGCTGCTGGATTTTCTGTCTCATTTAAATAATTTACTTTTGCCCACAGATGACTGATGCCATGTCCGAATCTAAAAAGAAATGTAGACAGTACAGTGTTGATTATATGAAATTTGGCTTCAGTCCATCATTGCCGGACAAACAATCGCCTATGTGCCTTTTATGCAACAAAGTTTTGGGCAATGACGCTATGAAACCATCTAAACTGCAAGATCATCTGAGAAGATGCCACCCTGATAAAACAGAGGAAGATTTGAAATACTTTCAAACACTCAAAGATAAATTTCAGAAGAGACCTACACTGGACAGAATGTTCGCTTATTCGTTAATTTTTTGCCTATTTTTAGATAACTTAAACGTATAAGAACCGTAATTTAATCAAACTAACAGTGAAATTATTGTAGAACATACGTTTATGTTATAATTAATAAACGAACTCGCTTATTGTACTATTTTAAATAAAAAACTTTTTTTTATTATTTTTCACTTTTTTTTATTTTGTTTTTGAAAGCGGGCACTTATTGGTCAGACACCTGTTTATTTAATGTTACGTATATTTTACATAACAGTTACAAAATTTTATTTTGAGTAGTTTTAATTTAAATTCAATTAATAAATGTATGAATTAACATGTGTTTTTACTTTTTTAACACTAAACTTCACTACAGTTAGAAATTTACAGGAAATCAATATCAGGTAAGTAGGGGGTCTACACAACACGGAAAAATGTGGCAAGGGGTCTACGACACAAAAAAGTTTGGGGAACTCTGATTTAACCCATTACATACTCACGCGCGAAACATAATCTCCCTCTGAGACGAGTAAGATTCCACTGTTCTCCTGATAACCATCCTAACTTTATGCGCGCAATACAAGTTCTGCCATCTGTTGGATCTCTATGTGAATAGCAACAGGTAATAACAGAGGTTGAATGTAGCAGCGAGTGGCGAATTATTGATAAGTCAATATTTTCGGTAATGTTCAGTAGATGGCGTCATATGTAAGATCTGTTAATCCAGGAAACGGTTCATTTTTTTTGGGAAACTTATTTCAATTGGATTAAGCTATTACCGCACACCAGCACAGAGCAAACTTGTTTCAGTTTTCCCTGAAATGGAGAAAGCGCTGTCGAGGAATTTATTTATTAATTTTCAACTTTAACCATATTCAAACCTCATTTATGCCACGCCAAAGCAAACACTCGCAAATGGTCGCTACGTTCTCATCTTGGTCATACCTCAAAGTTCAAATAAAAAAATGATAATGACAGAATATATTTCACATTTATCCGTCTTCCAAATGGAAGTTTTTTGCTGCTGCTGTATAGCGTGTTTCAGTAACAGCCCGAACACGTGAAGCTAGCTCTACAATTATGAAATAGCTCCGTATGAACCTAGCCATGTGCTGTGCTCTTGAGGTGTCGACGTATTATTTTTCGCATTTCGGTTCCATGATTGAGATACAGCATTAGTAGTTGCAGATTGCATATCAATCATCTGGTGTATTTTGACAACCGTTCTGGGTGAATTTTCGCGTTCTCGTAGTCGCTTGGCGTTTTCGGGTGGCTGTGACCTGGTACACCCAAAGGAGGATGTAACTTTATGCTCGTTGTCGCTTTGGGGAGTCTCGATGTCTTTAGGAAGTGGGAGCGTCTACCCCAGACGGCCCCGGATTTTGCTGAGCTTGCGCGGATACATTTTAAAATATTGTAATGATGGCTTCACGCGATTTTGGCGTGGTGCAGGACAGTTTTAGGCTGTTTTTGGAACATGGGGTGTAGTAGCGTAATAAAAAATCGAACTACCACGTGGTAGACATTTAATCCGACACATATGTGGATAGATTTGGCGGCCAGCAAGATTTATCACCATGAAAACTACAAGATAAGCTTCAAATGTTACATTCTCCCTCTTCCTCATCTATGGTGCCTTGTCATGTACGGCTTCAACATTGTATCAGGAAAATTCTTAGGCCTGCACTTCACTACCGGCGATGACCGTTGACCGTGTGATCGTTCATTAATAGACACGATCATCGTGCAAGCATCCACACGAGCGTCCGTAGTAGTTTGTTGAGGGCGATCATAGACGATGATCGGCGAATACAGCCGAGTATGCCCTCTTCGCAATCCCCCTCGCCTAATCGTTTGTAATCGCCGATTGTGCAGAGGAGCTATTAGGTGCCGTATGCGGAAGAATGCAAACAGAATATAACATACTAGGTCAGTGGTATAAAAAAATAAAGCTCTTTGTTAATCCATCCAAAACGTAGCTAGTCCTCGTCACCAAAAGATGGATGGTTGAAGATTTCAGTCCCCTAACCCCCAACACTTCACGGTCTACCATTGACTCTCAGTCAAGAGGTAAAATACCTGAGTGTGGTGCTACGTAGTGAGTTGTCATGGAAACAGACTATCGACTACATCCTCAAGAAGTCGATAGCGATCATGTGGCGGTTGCATCGAGTGGTCGGCACGATTTAGGGTCTAGACACAACGCCTAGCATCTAAAAGAGCTATGTGATCCGTAAGCTCGAAAAGATTCAAACATTGGGGATAACTGGTGTGATAAGGACAACCCCTTCAGTGGCCCCCGATGTTGTCCTGGAGCTGCCGTGATCGGAGGACTGCAAAAAGCGGGAAGCCATGACGAAATTCCTATGCATGTGCGATAAGGGCACGTAGGTGATACGAGAACAAGTGGTAGGCCACTCCAGGATCAAGGGTGTGACGAAGATAAATGTTTCCATATCCGAGGTAAGAGTGGAGAAGCCCACGAACACCCTAAGGACATGTCAAGAATTCTCATGTATCATCCTGCAAGGACAGAATGGGTGGATGGAAAGATTCAATTTCTGCCTTATATCCTGATGTGTTTCACCGACGGATCCTTTTCCAATGAAACACAATATTCCTGGAAGGCACAGGAGTGCAGCAAAGCTCCGCGCATCGAAACTACACGGCGGTCTTCCAGGCAGAAATATATCTTAATGGTGACATACTTAGAGGAGTTATAACAGTGCACCACTCTGCTCTTCAGAGCTTACCCAGATCCAAAGAAGTGTCTCTGCTACCAGATAATGAGTGAGCCGATTATCTGGCTAGACAGGTGGCCAGCAGCCCCTGTATTGGTCCCAATCCTAGGCTGTGTATAAGATGTCAGGCCAATGCCGTATTGAATGAATGGGCGTATAGTGACCTAGGAATAGCGAGGCTATAGAGATGACTGCAGGGAGACTAAGAGCTTCGTAGAGGTCTGACAAACGTCGGACCCGCTAGCTACTGGACAGAAGCAGGGAATCACTCGATCTTCTGATGGGGACCCTTACCGGCCACTGTAGATTGAACAGGCTCTTATTCCGACTAAGGGTAAAAAAGGAGACCCTATCTGTCCTGACCGTCATTAGGAGATCAGGAAGGTTCGACAGACAAAAGGATAAGTATGTGTTTGTACACTCGGGGTCGACAAAAAGTGCCAAATATGCCCTACTTGTCAGGCTGCGCCTTCCCACTACTATTACTGCTTCTCTCAAATGTCTATCGTTACGTATCCATGCATTTCACGAGCCACTGAAAATGGGAAAACGAGAATTCCAAGCTCACGCTGGTGTTTACTTTGACTCATCAATGCTTAACTCTACTCAGCGAACTTCATAACGCCATCAAAATTTGGTCACAATTCACATTCACAATTGACGTGATTGTTTCAAATATGCAGGTCGTGATGACGTATACTAAATATCCAATTGTGTACGTGTACTAGGACGTTATTATGACGAGTTTTACAGGTTATTTCCTTTGAATTATATATTTTTATATTATTATATTTATATTACAATATTTTTTATTTTAGAATCAACCTTTCCGATTTAAAGCGAACTAAGTCAGAGCACAAGGAAATAATTATCGTCTTCCATCCCTGATCGACGTTCACTCAAAAGCAAACCCTAGTATTTGAAGTGACAAATTATTCTTACATCACTAGCGTCCCTATATATAATATTTGCCAATTGTTAAAAATAAGTGTGAGTGAAAAGTGAATAAAAAATGACCGAATTGGACACATTCAGATATAACATACAAAACAAAAAATATGTCACATATTAGCTATTCAGTCTGTCATGCCTTCTTGAAAATGTATTTACGTTTAATCTGCAATGCTGCATCGAGTGACAATTGACAGGGAACGACAATTGCCAATCGCTGCAATCTACTAATATACTGAGTATCCCATAACTTTAGAAAAACAAAATACGCCATTTTTTTAATTTTAAAAATGTGGCATTTTCGCGTGCTTGTTGTCATAGCCTAGGCTTAATCCTTCACCAGGACAACGCGGCAGCCTATAGTAGAGAAACAACTACTATATGTAAGCAATGTCTATTTCAGATGATTTGTTCCTTCTTAAAGAAAATTTGCGGCTAGCTTATCTATAGTATGGAGAACATGTTGTAATCTTGAATAAATTATTAGCTACTCGACTAACTTGAATAATTTCACTATGTTATACCATTTTTATGCTGTTATCATCTTTCATACTATTTTTAATGTCTTTGTGTATCATATTATATCAAATCCACATTTACAACTTCTGCCATTGCACTAAAAGACAAACATATACGTATCTCATGGTATTTCAAATGCATTACATTGTAGAGAACTTAACATTATAGATTGATATGAATGTCTAAAAATAGCTAATGCTCGTTCATGGGATGCGATTACGTAAATTAAATAATAATTCAATGTGCAATTCAAACGCTATGTCAACATGTCTTTTCATCGAATACTATAGATACTAATCTAGCCATTATGTGATTTCTGTCTATTTGTAGTGCAAACAAAATTGCGAATATATTTTATACTTGCAATCAGTACTTGTTCATTTGTCAGATTAGAACAATTCCAAAATGAGTCTACCTAAAACGTTCGTCAAAGGGTTTCACGATGAAAGTGATGTTAAGAAGATGAAATACCTCACTTTAGGAAATACTGGTCTAACAGTATCTCAATTGTCATTGGGAACAGCTACTTTTTCTTATTTCTATGGGTGAGCATTTGTTACATACTCCATATTGAATTTCTCCTTGACAGTACATTGTTCATATATTTTAGTAGTAGTTATATATAATTTATTGTCGAGAAGGGCTTTTATATCCAAATCAAAAAATTCCACATATAAAAATCAAAAACAAGAATCATATTATGGTTAGAAGTTTGATATGAGAAGGAAGAAGTATTTCTTCAGCATATCACAATATCTTTTATGCTGTATTGATGGTTTTATAAACAAAATGTTCACTCATTGCATCATTTAGTTTTTTCATTGACATCTTAAATTAATTGCATTCAGGGACTACAATGAGGAAGAGTGCCGAAAAATGGTTAATGAAGCAATAAAGAGGGGGATCAATTATATTGACACAGCTCCATTTTATGGTCATTGAACATCAGAGGAAATCTTGGGAATGGTAAAAATGTGTCCTCTAGAATTTTCAAAATACTCATGTATTCTTTTAGTGCTTGGAAGAAATTCCAAGGAAAGCCTACTACCTGGCCACCAAAGTTGGCAGATACGAAAAGGATCCGAAGCTGATGTTTGATTTTTCTGCCGAAAAAACAAGGGAAAGTGTCGAAAAGTCATTGAAAACGTTAAAAGTAGATTATGTAGACCTGATTCAGGCAAGTTTCGGCCACAGTACACAGTGTATTGCTTTGTGCTTTATCTGTCAAAAAGTTGTCCTGACGATGCTGACGATGCTGACAAATGGATGAATTTCATTTCCAGAATGTCTTTTATTTTGTCATAGGAATATTCCTAGTTAATCTAAAACTATAGCTTACCATATATACAAATAGTATATATCTATATTAATACCTTTTCTATTCAAAAATCATTTTTACAGGCGTTGCATATATGCAAGCGACCTAACTGAACTATGATTTGCTTTGTTCACACTGTATCCATGTATATCAATTGTAATAAAATTGTATGCGCGTATACCAACAGGAGCATAAATTGACCATTGACTATGAATTGGTGATCATTCCAGCAGTGTTAACTTGGCACATTGCTTTCAGGTACACGATATCGACTTCGCGCCAAGTTTAGACATAGTTTTGAAGGAAACACTTCCCACGTTGCACGAATTTGTGAAGAGAGGAAAAGCGAAATACATTGGAATTACTGCATATACGTGCTCGACTCTTCTAGAGTGCATTGAAAAGAGTTCGGTGCCAATTAGCACAATTTTAAATTACTCTAGACTGACAATGATCGATGATACGCTGAGAGAGTTCATACCGAAATTCCAGGTAAGATTAAACAAGTTCGAAACTTTTGCAAACCTTAAAGTTGGTCTACTGCCTTCCAGGAAGTCATTGAGCAGTGTAAATAGGGTGCCCTGGACCCATCTTACACAAGCCGTATACTTAGTTATTCTAGATTGAGAGACATTTAACAAGAACTCTAGACACTTCCTATTGGTTGAATTTGTGACCTTCGCGCTGTTTTAGACTCGGCATCGTAAAATTGGGCCCGAATGACATTTATTTATAGGAGCCTTTGGAAAAATTTTGCTGTATGTTATTCCGGGGCATCTTGATTGATCCAGGAGATTCAAAATCATATTTCAAGATATTGCCAGCTAGCCGGAACGTCAACTAGATAAATGAAACAATCACGGGTCAACTTTCAGACGTTACTGTAATTTAAAATAACTTTTGGTAAAACCATTTATTTGCAGATGAAGAATATAGGCATTATTAATGCAGCTATACATGCTCAAGGTCTGTTAACTAATATTGGCCCATCTGATTGGCAAGCAGCTGGTAAAGAAATTAAAGACGCTTGTACCGAAGCCAGACGTCATTGCATCGTAAGTATTTTTGGCACACTTCCACAGAAAAATAGCGTCAAGTAGGTTAACCCTGCACTTCCTATGCAACACTGTCATCAATTCATAAAAGATAAGGTATATTCGGCACGACTTAGTCCATCTTAGAAACAGTTGACTACACGCATGTATAACAAAGCAATTAAAGTTAGTCAAACAGGCTCATACAATTAATTAGTCAATAGTCGCCACATCGACTTGCTACGCAACTCTAGCATATCTCAACTTGTTGATCGTCCAACGAGATTCAGGGAAGGACAGACGCCTAGGGCTCTGGATTTGATATTCGTTAACGACGCCGACTTTGTTTCTAATTTAGATTATTTGCCACCTTTTGGCAAGTCTGACCACTGTTCACTTTTATCTTCTCTCCAATATAAATAGTCGTTCTACAACCGATAAGTTTAAAACCATCAAAATTGTAAACCACGATGCTCTTAACCAAGCCCTGTCTGAAGTCAACTGGCCTGCTTTGCTTAACAACCGTAGCACCCAAGATATGTGGGACACTTTCGCTCAACGAGTCCTAAGCGAAACGGCTGACAATACTGTTAAAAAGAAGGTATACTGTGACCCCTCAAAGCCCTGGATCAACTCTAACATATCGAGGATGCTTCCTCACAAGAGATCTTTGTGGCCACGGTTTAGGAGGAGTGGCCATTCACAAGATTACGTGTCTCATCGATCCTTTTCTAACCTCCTATCTAGAACGTTACATAATGCCAAACATGCTTATGAACGAAAACTCGTTACCTCCAAAAATAAGAAGAAGCTGTTTCGGTATCTAAGAACAAACCTGAATTCCAAAGTTTCATCACCTCAGATCCGCGACGCTGACGGTCATCTCCACATGGATGCCACCGAATCTGCCAACTTACTGGCAGAGCCCTTTAGTGATGACTTCGTCGATGAGCCTAATGGAGACCTTCTACCGACCACTATCTGCCATAGGTGTCCCAACAGCCTTTGCGAAGTTGAGTTCCTGCCTGAAGATGTATTAATGCACCTGCGAAATCTGAAGACCTCTTCCTCCCCTGGTAAAGATGGGATGACGGCTGCTGTACTTAAAAACTGCGCTTCAGCACTGGCCCTACCATTAAGCTTGATATTCACATCGTCTTTTAGATCTCATACCCTACCCTCATGCTGGCTTAGTGCTTCTGTTACCCCTGTATTCAAAAAGGGCGACAAATCCTCCGCTAAAAATTATCGACCAATAAGTCTCGTTCCTATCGCCGCCAAAATAGCTGAAAGAATCATATTAGATAAGCTCCTGTCATTTGCTTTCAAAAATGACCTTATCCCTAAGAATCAGCATGGATTTATCCCTGGTCAATCAATAATGACCAACCTTCTCCACTCTCTCAACGATTGGACTCAGTATCTGGACACAAAGACTCCTGTTGATATAATCTACTTAGATGTTTCTAGGGCTTTCGATCGCGTACCACATAGAAGGCTTCTGTTTAAGTTGGAGTGTATGGGAATAAGAGGCGGGTTGTTACTGTAGATTAAGGCTTTTCCCACCGGGAGGACTTTCTCTGTGCGCGTCAGTGATAGCCAGTCTCACTTTCATCATGTAGCAAGTGGAGTTCCTCAAGGCTCTGTCTTGGGGCCAGTGCTGTTCCTTCTGTATACAAGTGACCTGCCCGCATTGATTTCCTCCACATGTTCAGCTTATGCCGACGACACCAAGATTTACAATACTGTCGTAAATTCTGCTATGCTTCAACGAGATCTTGATATTGTTTGTCAATGGTCAGTCAGTTGGCTTTTACCCTTAAATCTAACTAAGTGTTGTGTCCTTCACCTCGGGAAGACAAATCCGCGATTTACATACAAGATCTCTGACCACAACATCGAAGCAGTTTCCAGCCACACTGATCTGGGCGTTGTAGTCAACGATCGTCTTTCCTGATCAGAGCATATTCACCACGTTACATCAAAAGCCAAGAAACTTCTATACATGCTGGAGAGGTCTTTCAAAGGATCTGATGTCAACACTTGCGCCTACATTTACAAGGCATTCGTGAGGCCAATTCTTGAATTCGCTGGCCCGGTATGGGACACTGTGCTTCTGCGTGATAGAAATCTCGTCAAATCAGTACAGCGTCGGGCTACTCGTATCCCTTTTGGAGCACGAATACCAAGCTATGAAGATCGCCTTGAATTATTCAACCTGACCTCATTCTCTGAGCGATCTTATAGTTACGTTCAGGATACTTCATGGTTTGATGGGCACCAACCTCATGCATCTATACCGTCTGTCGCGCAGCAATCTACGCGGACACAGCTTCAAACTGCATAAGGAGCCATTTAAAACAACAGTCCGACAGTGGTTTCTTCCCAACCGCATATTCAACACCTGGAATAGTTTACCTGAAAGTGTGGTTGGTACTATATCAGTTAATAGCTTCAAAGTGCAGTATGATAGCTGGAGGAGTGTACAAACTTTATAGCTATGAACTGTCTTTTTTTATTTTGTATTTTTTTCTATTTGATGTATTTGTGTTACGTGTCCGTACACTATATTTACTGCATGAGCTTATAGTACTGTGTACTCTGCTCATCTCAATTATCATAATAATAATAATAATAATATTTGACGACATTGGTGTTGTATACATGAATTCACATATCACCATTCAGTTATCCCTCAGCACTCGAAGCAGATAGACTTACTTACCGGGGTTGGAAACGTATAAATTGGTAGCACCAAAAAATTGACATATACTCTCCTTCACCCCTATTATCTCCAAAATCCAATTTTCAACCTCTGGACTGATTTTCAAAAACTATAAAGCTTTTTTCTGCTTGGCATAGTAGTAACATTGTCTAAACGTTTCATCAACATCCGAGCAGTGCTTCCCAAGTTGAGTTGTACTGCTCGGGAATATGGGCTCAGGATCAGCGGACAGAGAGACAGACAGACGGAAATGAGTAACATGGTTGTTCTTAATCGTCATTCCAACACTTCATCGCCCGATGCGTAGGAAGTAAAAAGTAAGATAATACCTATCCCTCATATATGGACCTCTACTGGATCTTTTTTATACTTTTCGTTTACAAATTGGCAACTTATATAAAGACAATGCTCCAACACATATTTCGCAATTTTGGATCCCCCAGGAGAAAATAGAACATATCTTCCACCTTTGTATCGTTTTGTAAACTTATGGAGGATTGAATATTTGCAAACAAAATCACCAGATTTTAAAAATAACACCAATATACCAATCCAATTTTTAGGAAAGTGGGGTTGAGCTGGGAAAACTTGCATTATATCACAGTTTGCAGCAAGAAGGCCCTGCCACAGTACTTGTGGGTATGAAAGACAGAAATATTCTAGAGTATAACCTGAACGTGGTCTTTGGAGGGTTATCTTCCAATGAAAAGGCAGCATATAACCACGTATTGAAGTAAGTAAAAATGTACTGCTAAGATGCTTCCTTCATATCTTATACGTTGTGTTTGCGTTCTCTAGATGCTTTAAAAAGCCTTCTACTATCGCTACTATTTATTATTATTATTATTACTATTATTATTACTATTATTATTATAATTTTTATATCGTCTTTTTGTCACAGGATATTCGCAAAACTTACTGTGAAGCACTGGGGAACAGTTGAGATTGAAAACTACTGGAAAGCCGTTTCTGCTTCGGGGCATTAAATATTCGACATGCATTTTTATAATACAAATCTTGTAAATTATAATGATAAAAAAAATTCTAACATTCTATGTTATAACCAAATAAAAAGAGGTTTCTGGGTTCGTTGTTTGTGTTTGGTTGAAAAAAAAACGGCATTAAGTATCCAGATTCACTGAATTTGACTCTCCATGACAACTCAAAAGTATGATGAAAATGTAGAAGAACCTAATATATACGTACAAGTCGATACTCAGCATTTTCGTCGTACTAGCTTTTGTCACCAAAATCCGACATTAGATTTGCATATATCACATCGCACAATAAAATATTTAGTCCTGACCTGCGTAGTACGTTTTTGTGGGTTTTCAACTTGGTCTGGTAAGTAAAAGTTGCCGTCTCCCTTTTTAAGCAAAGCTTCTGTTGCTGTACAGCATCAGTTGGTAAAATTATATCATTAAAGAAATAACGAAAAATAGGCTGCATAACATTAGTTTCCCTTCTGTTCATATCATTTATTGCTCTTTTTACTAGGAAATTATAAATTCAGAGTTACAGGAGGGAATAAAAAATGAATCCGGAATTGGAATTTTGAAATCCCAAGGTAAAATGATGAGATCAAGTTAGTACCGATTGAAATTCTGACTTTTATGTCACATAAACTGATAGAAAGAAAAGATTTAGTCAAATAAAATGTTTCAATTAAAATACTTAAAGATGCACAATTTACTTTGCTAATTGATAAGCATCATTCATTAGCTTTTTTGTACAGTCAAACATTTCAATACTTTGCGTAACAGGTGCTGATTATCCTAAAATAGTAATAACTAGAACTTCCTAGGCAACGCCATCATCAGTTAATGAATGCACAAACCTCTGAGAAGCAAGTTATTTACGAACTTGCACAATATAGAAATTAAATGGATCAAGTCAGTCAAACAGACTCAAACAATTAGTGCGTAAACATTCTTTCCATGCTCTAGGTACCGATAATTACCATCCATCTGGCAATGTTGCCTCTTCGGATATCGTTAGACGCGGCCGCCTACACCGAAGCACCGCCGTAGCAGAACAATCAAGCAGACCGTTACGCCGGGCGCTGGGCCCAGATAGCAGAAGGAGACGCGTATCGAAAACACTTTTCTATCAAGTTACAAACGACCTGTGATGTGTGAAATATGCGTCAGCAAATCATGTCTGTCTATCTCAATATCTGTTGTAGATGATGATGGACTGTGAGATGGTGATGGAGTGATTCTGTTTACAATATCTGATTCTGATTAACTGTAGCCGAAACTATCTCTCCAACTCCTTGCCGGCAGCGAGCCTCTGCTTGGGCTAGGGCGAGGTACTCCTTGTAGATGGGCTTGTCCCTAAGGTGATGTTTGGCCAGCCCTGTTACCGCCACCATATCTTTCATGGATATGACTCCTTATAACACAATAAAACGTTCTGTCTAAAAAGATTTTACTTTCTGCCAACTTGCATCTAAATCCATTGAGCCCCACTGTGTTAGTCCTTGTTTTATGGTGGTGGTGGTGGTGGTGGTGGTGGTGGTGGTGATATAGGGCTGCATAGGAGGTTGTTGCGCCGAAACTTTCGTATAAGGCATGTGTTGTGACTCCGTGTATGTTATTAATAGAGCATGATTATACTTTAAAATAGATTTAATAGAACTAGATTAAATACAATGAAAATAAAACCTACATCTACATTTGCACTATCATTAACGTTAATTATTTTCGCAACGAATGGCTCCAAATTCGTTTTGTTGTAATTTGCAAAATACCAGTCCTTATCACTTTTCGTGTTAAAGCTTCTACTGTCGATCAAAGTCTTCTTAGGTTCCCTATGAGCCATTGGATCTGGTACAAAGAAGTCCGCAGAATCAGACTGTAGAAAAGCACTGGTAGACTGTAATGATGTTGAAGGGCTTTCTGATTGAGCTGGTGATGCTATTTTGGTTATAGTAGACTTGCCGCCATTTCTGTTCAACTGAGGTGGAGGGGCTACCGGTGCCAATAGTGTTGGAGTTACACTGGTTACCCTTTCGATCTTTGAAACACTATAACTAAGAGTACTGGTGGAAACAGGAGTTGTTATAGAGGATTTTGTCATAGGAGTAGTGTCTGGGGTTGCTGTTGTTTGTGTTTGCAAATTTGCTATATCTGCTGCAGTTGTGATGTCGACAGCGGTACTTGGAGTGCCAACCAAGTTACTAGGAGATTTTAGAGGAATATCGGAAGCATTTTTCAAATAACTGCTATGAACCGATTCTGACAAAACGTTTAACTCGCTTTTTATATGCTGTTTTTCTTCGGTCAATGCTTTCTTTGATACATTGAAATGTTCCGAACTCCCACTTTTAGTTGAAGGAGGTGTTATTGACAACAAATGGGGACTAGATGCAGTGGGGACGCTACTACTACTCTTATTCTGAGGCAAAGAACTATTGAACTTATTCTCAACAGCAACAACATGGGAAGTTCTCTGAGACACCTTCGGAGGTGCAACATTAGCAGGTGGTTCCGTCATGGGATGTGGTATAGGCTTAAAACCTCCATCTCCAGGTAGAATAGGCTTAAATCCTCCTTCAAATTGTGGCGCAGATGGTGGCTGCATAGGAGGCGGTTGCATCAAAGGTGGTTGAAGCCTGTTGATCGTAGCCTTCATATAAGGCAAATGTGACTGGATGTTTCCCATAGTAACTCTTTCATTGCCTTTGTTGACCACTGCAGTTTTTCTTTCAGCTTTTGGTACATTTTGTTTTTGGATGAAGTTTCCTCCCAGAAGCGTATTGAGTGGTATTCCGAAAAAGGTGAATCCACTGCTGCTTGGTGAGTTTGTGACTTTATTTGGGATATCTGGCTTTTTGGTTCTGTTCTTGGGCGCTGCGTAGATTGTAGGTGTACCTGCTGAAACATCAGATATGCTGATCAATATCGATCTTTACAACCAACAATAAAAATCACATATACTGATCAAATAGCTTCAATGTAGTTTCGATTGCCATGGAAGACTTTGAAAGTCAAAAAACAATGTTTTACATATTTAATTATCTTTCCCGTATAATATATATAGATGCAGTTTTTTATCAGGGAAAACTGAGGTTTTCAGTTGGAATGTCACTTAACAGAAGAATTGATTCATTTTTTGTTCCTCGCTGATTTTAACTGGACACAAAAAGATTTTTAAGGCTAATCTGAGAGCTCAAAATTTAAGCTGGGTTGTGATGAAATGGGGTAATTACTCTAGATTCAATTTTTAATCAACCTGGCTTCTAGTATACTATTTATCCCTAAATAGGAGTATTTATTTCATATACTGATATCTTACACACTGTTACACTGCTTTGACGACAGCAAAATAATGATATAAATGATTCATATTCTTTAATGAAATTGGTTCATGAGCTTTATATTCTAACATTAAATGGGCGTTTGAAAATTTCAAGATGATCAAAATCGACAGTTGACAAACTATATTTCGAAAGCATGTTACATATACTAGTACATATTCGGATATGATAGAAGAAGGTTGATTACAAGTACTTTTAGCAATTTACATATTAAATTATACACGGGTACTTTGACAGTCCGCCATTTTGAGAAATCGTGAACGCCATATTCCAACATGGTACGAGCCGGTATCCCTAATGGTTCGGTCCTAGGACCAGTCGCCTACTCATTGTACAGAGTGGCCAACTAAGAATGCGAGGTACTGTATCTGGCAACCCATCCATCGTAGCAGCTTGCGCCAAAAACAGGTATTTCAAAAATGGCCAAGAGAAAAACCTAGAAAGTTTCGGCAAGTTTCAGAAATGGCCGCTAGGGGGCGTGACTGCAATCTTGAATCTGAAAAATACCGTATTTTTCAACTCGAGGATGACCTGAACCTTTTTTGTTTGGCAATTTTTGCTGTATCTGTACAAATAAGAGGGTCATTTTTCGACATTTCGACAGAAATGGTTAATATTCTGAACAAAATCAAAAGCGTTGATATGATTTTTTTAAGAAAAAGTAGCTAAATGATGTCTCATCTTATATCTTATTCCTAACCTGAAATTTAGGCCAAAGAAGATTTTATACGGAAATCCCTTAAGTTTGTATTTTTTAAACTAATTTTTCTGGAATTTTCTTTTATTATTCAGTTATGGCACTAGAAAAGATCGATTTAATGTCTATCGTATATACCCACAGTGAATATTCATTATACAAAAAATATGTTTTTTGTTATTAGCACTACTTGCTTATCTCTTAGCGATATTTGTATATTATGTTTTCAGAAAGGGGATTTTATTCTGATGATCAAAAAAGAATTCCAGAAAAATAGTTAAAAAAAATAAATATTCAAGGGATTTCCGTATAAAATTTTCTTTGGCCTAAATTTTAGGTAAGGAACGAGATATCGAGATGTGGTTTTAACGAGCTTGTTTGAACATCATTTAGCTACTTTTTATAAGAAAAATCATACCAATGCATTTAATTTTTTCGAGAAAATTAACCATTTCTGTCGGAATGTCGAAAAAAGCCCCCTAGCGGCCACATGTGAAACTAACAAAGTTTTGTAGCCCTTCAACTAGACCAAGTTTGTTCAAATCGGAAACTCTGAAAAGAGATACAGCAAAAATTGACAGACAAAAAAGTTCACTCTATCCTCGACTTTAAAGATCAGGTATTTTTCTGTTAGGTTAGGTTTTCAGATTCAGTTACGCTCCCTAGCAGCCATTTCAGAAACTTTAAAATATTTTCCAGGTTTTTCTCTTGCCCGTTTTAATAACAACTTTTTTGCCGCAAGCCTCTACGATTGATAGGTTTCCAGATTCAGTACCTCGCGTCCTGTACATTTATAACGTTCCTACCTAGTAACTATGATGATGAGTTAGCAAATTACCATTTTCATATTTGAATATGTTTGTATCATACATCTTTACTAGCTTAGTGCCTGAAGTACCATATAAGAGACATACCGTTTTTTTTAAAGAAACAATTTTTATCCTAACTGTAGTGATACTATTCCGTATAGAGTGCAATAAAAATGTGTTTCTACGACGATTGAATTTCTTCTAACAAAAGTCAGGCATACAGCGGTTAACTTGTTATATAGCGCTATCAGTCATGAGTTCTGTGTTAAATTATATTAGGTTTTCTTAACGCGGAAGCCAGCCTCTTGAGTTTTTTTGGCTGGCGTTCAATTTGTGGTTTCTGGATTACCAGGACTGAGTAACCAGTGGCTTACAAATTGATACTATGACACAAAAGATAAGGTCTCACGGATCGCTCTGGCAATAAACGATGATCTGAACGACTTGATTGATGCTCCTGAGGAGCTTCGAAATGGTCTATCAGATGCATGACCCCAAATTCCATTCAAGCAAACTTTTAGCATGGTGCCTAGCTGCAATCTTGCAATTTTCAAATATCACTTTTACGCTAGAATACAATAAGTATTTGCGCATTTAAAATTTCAATTTGAGAAATTGACCCACGTTTAAAAATGAATGGAGGGCAAGCAAAGGTGTGTGGAAGTGTGTATGTAGGTACCTGTAGGACGTGGGGGTGATTCGGAGCTGCTCTGAGTAGTAATAGGTTCTCTAATCTTGCTATTTCCAGCAAGGCCACCCTGTTCAATCATAGTCTCGTTGATTGGATAATCGACATATTCATCGTAGAAGTATTCTGACTCCTCTGGGGTTGGTGCTAACTGATTTTTCTCCACACTAGTGTTGTTTCTCACCACCCACTTAGCGGAGGTCTGGAAAAAATATCTAGTTGTTTATCCATGTTCAAATGTATTTTGTATGTCATATTTTTATATGTTCGGTATAGTCCAATACGCAATAATGTTTTATGAACATCGATATGTCATCAAACTGCAGTCGATTTAGGCCTACACAAGATAAACAGTTCCGAATCCGCAGTCTTATTAGACTGACACCATTACGTTTGAATTTCATTTTTACTTATCAACTCAGTCTGTAAGGAAATATTGTTATTATAAATTTAGCATCTATACCACGAAAACACGTCACTCGTTTTCAACGGATTGTTTGCCTCTTCGCGGTTTATCGTCTGTCAGGTGATATTTAGCCGCTACACCATGCTCCTTAAAATTACTTGCTAATAGTGCAGGATCTGATTTCTCAAATAATTTCATAAAGAAATGTTCATATAAATATACGTCTGTAATGCCTAAAACCTTTAGATACATTGTGTTATATTGGAAAACAGACGTTTTTATTTTTTATTTCTACAAAAGTACTATAGATATTATTCTTCGTTTTGACATCTCATTATACGAGGGTCATGCTATATATTTGGAGATACACGAAAACTAAAAACTATTTTTCGAAAACTAGTTTATTTATGTTAAGGTGTTCTCCTCCAGCATTAATGCACTTCTGTAACCTGACCTTCCACAGATGAAATGCTTCTAGCCAGTCAGTTTTTGGATTGCCTCCAACAAACTGAGACTGAGACATAAAATGGCTCATTTTAGTATAAAAATTATCCTAATGCACCACCAATGGTGTCCCTGCAAACAAGTCGTGATATTTAGCAATAAAAACCTTCTTTTGCTTTTCTCAATAGATGCGCCGTTTTTTTTTGACAAAATGGTAACTGCCAATACTTACATTCAGAAATATCGATAACGTACCATTTCTTTTTATTTGTGAAAAATATCTAATATAAATAGATAAGTACTACTCAAAAGTATAAGTTCCAACACAATGCGGACATTCGTCTACATAAACTTTTCTCCATCAAATTAATTGAGAAATTATATCTTGGGATATCGGCATGTCATTAGGCAACACAATATATAATTTCGGAAGTGGATTTGGATTTAATCTTGATACAAAATTGCTACCATGGCAAGGATGAATAAGCAAATATTTCAGAATGGACCCCACGTCACTGAAAGTTTTTGGGCGTAATCAGGTACACTTTTGAGGTTCTCGAAATTTTTTATATAATCTAAAACCTCATTTTCAACCTTCAGATCACTTCAAGGAGTGCTGGAGTCACTAGTTTTAAAATCTTGTATTCCTCATATTTCATTAACCACGAGTGACAATCAGACATAGTTTTGATATAATAGTCTCTGAGGCTAGAACTACTGTTGTACTAAAATGTGTCAGAGTTTCCTTACCTCATATCTAGGAGTGGGGTAAGGGTACTCCTATAACCAAAGATGTTTAATCATATCGAAAATGATAAATGAGACGTGGCACAACTAGCTACCAGATATTAATTGAGATCATATTGCGAGTAATGAGGACAAATCCTCTTCTGGCGTTGATACCTAATAGTTTAGTGACCGTTAGATGAAACCACAAAGTGAATAAGCATTGTTCTGCCACCAAGACCCGTATAGTTTATAAAAGACGAGATCACGCAATCCATATCTTGGTCGATATGTAAGAATGTAATACTAAGGTTATTCCACATATCTTCTCACCCAGTGGCGGGCTTTAACTTTTTAAAGCTCATTTTACTCTTTTATAAAATACACATTTTTTAAATAGTCCAATATTCATCTGATATACCAAGTTTCTATCAAGTATTTAAATAACTGTACTTTAGATGGAGAAATGGCCTTCTTCTAGTGAAGCTAAAAAAATTTCATACAGTTAAAAGTACTGTACTTACTTTTTGCCCATATTACGAGAAAGTCAAACTAACTAATCCACATCTTTCAAATATGGAAACGCTACCTATGAGACATGAGACTAGATACCACAGTACGGTTTTATGTTGTTTGATATATGCTTTAAATTTTATTGCGGGAGTTGATGAAATTCAAGCAGGGGTATTTGAAAACAGATATCATGTGATCCAAGCCGTTGTTATAATATATTCAAAAATGGCCGCCAAATCACAAAATATTTCCTTGGGCGTGTCTCAGGAATATTTTGCGATCAGGCTGCCATTTTTGAAATAACCACAATTCGGACCACATGATCTATTCTTATAAATGCTTCTTATGCATGTTATCATTACCCGCAATCAGTGCACACGCTACTGTAATGTATAGTCTTATAGACATTTTTCAAAAACTTGAAATATATTGGTGTAGTTCGGTTTTGTGGTAATGTTAGCCTTAACTGTAGTATTGGTAAGTTGATTTGGGCTCTACAAAAATTGCACCATTTCACAACGTAATGGAGTATTATTTAAAGCCCTGCGGAAACTATATAACTTTTGGATTATTCGAAAATGTGTTATTATACAGGGTGCTCAAAAAATAGACGGAGATATTTTAGAGTAATTCCTAGCTAAGAAATATGGAAAAAAGTTTCTATAAACATGGGATAAATTGAAAACAAATGTTAACTTTCTAGAAAAATTTCGCAAATAAAATAACGTGAATAATTCTGTTCTAGAAGAACTGACGCGTAAATGTCAACCCTCTATGCAGAAATGATTTTTTGTGCAAAAATTAATAAACCACTTTTGTCCAGTGACTTGTTTTCTCGAAAACGAAGCGAGGTACGAAAAAATACAAGCGGCAAAGAAACTCTATTTTTAGATGCCTAATCAAACAAAAGATATTGTAGTTACAAAAAATGCAGTGGCATATATTTTTTGACAATAATATTCGCTAAGGTGCCCCCCGGGATACTAATAATTTTAATCTGTCTAAGTCTAAATTCGCTTCTTAATACAACCGAATAAATATTTTTTAGTATAATAATAAAAAATGGTAAAAAATCGAACTTATCATCTTGTATCTTGAAAACTCTTCATTTCCGGACCCATGTTTATAAAAAAATTATTTTTTAAGAAGGAACCACCCTCTGAAATATTTCCGTCTATTTTTTTACACCCTGTATAGCCTGTTTGTTTTTACAAATGTGTAAGATGCGATTTGAGAAATTTAATTCGGAACACATCTTACGAAGATGTATTGAATAACTATGTAACAGCTTGGCTGTCATTTTCTCTATACCCCTACAGGTGCTTATTAATGCCGTGCGTTTAAGCTATAAAGGCCACGTAACTTTAATGACTGTTTCTAGACTATAATTTTTGTCCGGCTAATGAAACCACATTTATTGGATATATTCCTTTATTGTAGTAAACGTTTCGAATACAACGGTGACTTTCTGCTGTATATGAAATGAAGAAGAATCTGAAATATATGTGGTTTCATTGGCCACACAAAAATGGGAGATTGTCGGCATGACAACCACAGTGTCGGTTTCAGATGTTACATTATAGTTTTATTGTCCATACATACATTTTCAGTAGGTAGGTTTCACATGATTTTATCATCCTGGGTATATACGAGGAGGTACTCAAAAATAACCGGAATAGCAAATCAGTAGGTGAGCTTGTGTAGTATACATTTCTGCCCCTAGAGGCGTACACCGCAACTCATTACCAATTCAGTGCCACCTGGGTTGTCGATCTGGCTTGTTCCGTTCCTCTGTAGTCATTATTTTTGCTAGAACTGTTTCGTGCTTGTTTCATTTTTAAGAATGGCAAGCTTCAGTGAGCAACGTGCAGCTAAGAAATTTTGCTTTCTAATTGGTAGAAATGCTGCTTAAACCGTTTTAATGTTGAAAATAGCTTAGAAAGATGATCCTATGGGAAAAACTAAAGAGTGCGAGTAGTTTGCTCGATTTAAAAATGGCGACATGTCGATTGATGAAATCCCCGCTCTGGATGTCCATCAACTACCCGAATCGACGAAAATGTTGCTTGTGCTATTTGAAGGTTTTAAGACGATCGGCAAAAACTACCCGATTTTTGGCAGCCAGGGGACTGGTTTTTCCACCACCTGCGCACACAGCCATCTCTATTTGACAGTTTCTGGCTAAAAATGCCATGGATATCAGGCAGCAGCGGTGGCCGCAGTAGTACACCCTTCGGTCTCCTGATCAGTCGCCGTGCGCTGTGCGGGTTCGAATCCCGTCCCATGAGAAATTTTTCCCTTGGCTATGGATGTTGTAATTGTCCTTAGGTGGTAGACTGTTTCTGACAATCAAACGCAGAGGTACCACCTGGCGGATCTCGTATTCGGGGCCAGAATGTGTGCATGTCGCATGCACACGTGTTCTCTCGCCAGAGTCCGTGTGACTTTCCCCCGTTCCCCTGTATCCCTCTATAGCCCCACGGTATCCCATGGGTGTTAGACCTTCGTAGTGGCTGGAGTATAAAAAAATGGTTCCGCTGCCTCACGCACCTTATTTGCCTGACCTGGCTCCATGCCACTTTTTCTTATTTCCACGGATGAAAAGGGGCATGAAAGGACGCCGCTTTGATAACATTGAAGAGGTCAAGAAAAAAACGAGGGAGGAGCTGACATTTATAAGGAAGACTTCAAAAAATGTTTCCAGCAGTGGAAGCACCGGTGGGACAAGTGCATTAGTTGTAGTGGACAGTATTTTGAAGAAAATAAGGTTACTTTGTGAAAAAGTTGAAAATAAATAGCTTATAAAAAATAATTCCGTTTTTTGGGTACCACCTCGTATACCCAGTCCCAGCAGACCCAACCACTTAAAACTCTGTATAACCCAAAGAAGGAGTTACCTTCTTGACCCTAAACACATTCTTCCAATCGACCAATTTGATCTTGTTGAAAAAGGCTAAAACCGACAGCAGAATAACCACGAAGATGATATTAAAAGTGATGATGACGGCGTTGATAAGTACCTGAGTGTTCCCGTACCCCACTCCGGTGAGACTCTCCGTTTCGCACCCTGGAGCATAGATCTGGGCGTTACGCTGCTCTTCGGTGCAATCGTGCCTGGAAGTCCGCATGCCTCTCAAGAGGCTGCCATCGGAGCACTTCGGACCTCGCTGGTGGGGGGTCTCCTGGAGCCACGCCTGAAGCCACAGCATCGGGCAGGTGCAGGAGAGAGGATTGCCTGGATATGGTTTTGTGTAATAATGATTATGATAAACAAGTTTCAAATAGTATAAAAGCAGCGCCACCTTCAAACACGAGCCATGAAGAGAAAAAGGCAACACCGCATCATGGCATTTTGGGGTCCGGCCGTCCAGCTGGTGTGTGCCGTTATTAAGGCGCGTTTTCACGGGTCGATCTGAGTCGAACAATTTGTGTCGAACATTGAATCGAAAGCAAAGTGGTGTCGTTTTTATTTTTGGTCAACATACATCGCCTATCGTGTAAACCTTTTTGCTTTCAACTCAGATCGAACCATGGTCGAATAACCCAGGTGGTTCAACTTAGATCGACCCGTGAAAACGCGCTTTTACAGAAACTTCGATTTGAGCATTTTTTTTATGAATCTCAAATTTACGAGTACAAAGTACAAAACAATTTCACTAGACATAAGTTCAAAATCGAAATTACAGAATGTGAATACTCTATGCGAACCCTAGAGAGGGAAATTCACAAGAATACTAATTATGTAGTGCTTCTTATAACTAAGTTGTTTGCTGGCAGACGTATACAGGAGTAGAATCGTACTTGAGATGTATAAATGAGGTATTGCATTACCACACCAAGTTACCAATTTATATCGGGAGGTTTTGCCAAGAGCCATATATCTGTGGTACTAAGGCAAAACCCAATATGTCAAAAAATATTGATTTTTTGTTTTTAATGTCAATATGTACACCAAATGACGAAGTATTCTATGGCAAGACCCGATATAATTTATAAAATTTCCGTAACACTCTAAATTAATGTTATTTTTTTAAGGAGGAGCTTAAAATTTAAAAAAAATTGGTAGGTAGCAGGAGACTGATTATAGAATATAAATGCCATAACAATTGTGAGTGAAGAATATCTATTTTTCTTATTTTGAATTTGTTTGAGCTGGTCAATTAAAACTTCTAGATTTTTAAAATGAGGGAAAGGTACTGACACATGATTTATTACACTAACAGCATGTTCTAGATTCTCAATCCCTTTGTGAATATGACTATAGGCTAAATTTATATTTTTTAGTGTTTCTGTATTATCAAAATAAAAACTATACCTACTCAGTAAGTTTTCTAATTGAGACCATCTAGAGAGCTTCAAGTCAAATGGGAGCACCCATTTCAAATCATTACTTGAGAGCGGATCCCCTTTATTAAATACCTTAGTTTCTAATAAACTGTCTATTATAATTTGCGTATTCAAAACTAAAATTTCACTGATTGTTTCTAATTTATAAAAATAAATTTTGTCATTAGTCTTCTTCACCAACCAATGTTCAGGGATTTTAATCATTTTAGAATAGTTTTCCAATAAATCTGAGAATCCTGTAATTTTGTCTTTTTCCTGAAATTCTGAAACCAAATTCTCATGCCTTTGAAGGATCTTATCTTGTCTGATGGCAGGATCTGTTCTACTAGAAACTTGACGCTTACTTCTAGATAAGATGGCACATTTGGAAAGACTGATGGAACAGCACCTTCTGAAAGTTTTGGACGACTCAGTGTGACTGTGTTAGCTGATCCATCCTGCAGAACATAAGTTTCCGTACGGACAATTTCTGCTTGTTGAAAATGTGCATCACAAACAACAGAATCTTTAGAAGGCGACCAGTCCTTTCTTGGTATTGAAGCTAGCCACTTACTTTTCAACTCCTCATTTTTTGGAAATCGAAACACTGACCTGTAGGGTGTCGATCTCAATTCTGCCTCGTAGTTTCCCTTGCAGCCTGGTACACAGCAACGCTTAGGCATATTAATTAAAAGAAAAGATGTACCCACGCGAATCTACACACTATACAGACGTTTCTAACAAGCACCGATTCACACACATTTTAAACACATCAAAGCACGATTTTATACTACCTAAAATAAATACTTTCTGCACGGTTTGAAGAGCAAAACTAAGTAGATTACTCTGGTTTGTATGAATTGCACTGTTCCCAGAGATTTACAACAAAATTGCACCAAAAAGTCGGAGGTTAGGAATATAAACAAACGAAAAGCCCGGCAAACACCTGTCTGTGGAAGACCCCAAAGCTGCGTTGCCATATCTATTGTTCATGGCTCGTTAGTTGAAGGTGGCGCTGATAAAAGGATCAGTGTGAATTGGGATTGCATGATTCATAAGATTCATAAGCTGACTTGACAATAAGAGGGCTTATCCCTAAGCTCCACCCCTGACCCCTTGGAATGAAGCTACATTTGATTTATGTTTTATTTTAGTTTTCTTCTTAATCACATCTTCACATAAATGCCGTAGTTAACCGATTCTCGTAAGAGATCGGCAGTATGTAAGCTAATATTGGAACAGACCGAATATTGATAATATATATTGCGCTTCCATCTTTGATTAACTTCTTTGCTGCCATCTCTCGACAGCCTTTATCGTATTTTCTAAAAAAATGTCTGTACCAATAACGCAGGCTGAAAAAATTTCAAGTTGACTCATATTTTGTTTAGTTTAGTTTATGTTATTTATATTCCACCAGAGACTTCTAATGACACTTACGAAAGTTTTTTGCCACACATGAGTACGTTATTAATCAATCAGCCCAACGTTTTGATACTGGGCGATTTTAATGCCCCCGGTTTCGTATTTAGTCTCCATGCAGATTTTCGTTATACAACGCTATCAAATTTTTTAGATCTTACCAACACCATCCAATCTAACGTGATATTAAATCCGCTGGGGCGATTGCTGGATTTAGTCATAAGCACTGAAAGTGTACCATGTATTATTTCACGGGAAGCTATTTCTATTGTAAATCAAGTAGATCCTCACCATCCACCTTTAAGTATCCTATTTACCATACAGCTGTCTAGTAGGTCTAACTTGTCCCCAAATACTGAACCTACATCATTGATGTATATAATGCTTTGAGTTATATTGACTGGTCCTTTTTACGTAAAATTACTGATGTTAATGAACTATGCGATACATTTTATGTTAAATTTTTTTCAATATTTGATATTTATGTTTCTAAATATACCAACACCTGCAAATTCAGGTATCCTCCTTGGTATACTGGAGAAATTATAAGTAACATAAATTTGAAAGATTATTACTACAGAAAATATAAGAGAACACGCAATGTTTACCATTACAATGAATTTTCTAGATTGCGCAGAATCATAAAGGGGCGAGTTAGAGTTGCTTACAGTGAGTACTTGTCGTCGGTTGAGGACAGTATAATCAACGACCCGAAGAAGTTCTGGTCATACATTCGGAATAAGAGAGACTGTAGCAGAATACCAGGCCAAGTCCAGTTCAACGGCAACGTATTCAGTACTCCACAAGGTGTTATTGATGCATTTGCCGACTATTTTAAGAGTGTGTATGTTACTCCTCGAAATATTCCCTCTTCTTTAGTTAGTGTCACTTCAACATCATGTATTTATCTAGAGGAATTAACGGAAGCTGATGTACTGAAGTCTCTCTCTAAGCTTCAAAATAAACTTACGTCTGGTAGTGATCAAATACCTAGTTTTATTATTAAAGATTGTGCTCATGTTTTCGTCAAGCCGATGCTGATAATTTTCAATGCTATATTAAAGAGTGGAATTTTTCCTGATGTTTGGAAGATAGCTAAGGTGTGTCCGGTCCTGAAAGATGGTGATAAATCTGATGTACTCAACTATAGAGCTATAAGCATTTTGAACAACTTTGCAAAGGCTTTTGAAATGGCCATTTACTCTTTTATCTTCGTGAACGTTAAAAGCCTAATTACTCCATCACAACATGGTTTCATCAAAGGTAGATCCACTACGTCAAATTTAATGACAATTACGCAGTATATAGCAGAATCGTTAGACAAGAAACAACAAGTCGATGTTATTTACATGGATTTCAGCAAGGCTTTCGATAAATTAAACCATCATCTTCTTGTGGATAGCCTTCATTATTTCGGCCTTAGTGACTCGTTAGTCGGTCTTTTAAGCTCATATCTTTCTAATAGGACGCAATATGTTTACTATAATGGTTATTCTTCAGCAAATTATACTGTTCCCTCTGGAGTACCGCAAGGTTCAAACCTAGGTCACTTGCTGTTTTTATTCTTCATAAATAACCTAGTCGCTTCACTAAAGTGTGAATGTCTATTTGCTGATGATCTGAAAATCTACACCAAAATTACAAATTTGGAGAGCTGTATTTCCCTTCAGGACGATCTGCATTAAAGTATGTACATATTGTCGTAAAATGAAACCGATTATGTTTGATTACTCCATAAATAATGCGGTTTTGGAGAGAACAACAGAGACTAAAGATCTTGGTGTAACATTTTCCTGTAGATTGGACTTTTCTGTCCATGTAGCACGCGTCACTTCCGAAGCGACACGGATTCTGGGTTTCATAATGAGCAACTGCCGATCTTTTTCCAACGAAGCGGCACTAAAAGCTCTTTTTATTTCACTGGTGCGACCAAAACTTGAGTATGCCTGTTTGATATGGAACCCTTTCTATGCGTATTATATAAGCATCTTAGAAAACGTGCAGAGGAAATTTCTTAAATTCTGTGTTTATAAAATCGATGGCACATATCCAGAAAGGGGGGTCTCTCAATTTGTTCTGCTGCGTCGTTTTGAACTAGAGACTCTACAGTAAAGACGTTCCACTGCTGGCCTATCATTCCTTCATAAGCTTTTGCACGACAGAGTGGATGCACCAGAACTTCTCCAGAGGTTAAATTTCTATATTCCATGGTTAAATACGAGAACTCTAACTTTCTACTGCAGTACCTCCCGTACAAATGTATTATTTTATTCTCCGCTACATTCTATATGCAACAATTATAATTCCATAGCAGACAGTTCTGACATTAATTTTGATTGTATCAGTAAGATCGTGTCGAATTTCAGGTACTATTATAATAGCTAGTTCTATTTTTTTTAAATTAGTTTTAGGTATACATTACATGTATGAATTATAAGTAAAGTTACCATGATATTGTCCTTTAATTGGAATAGTTCTGTTGGGCAATAATGTATAAATAAATAAATAAATAAATAAATATTTGCTTGTTTAGTCTACATCCTCTGTCTCCAAACACCGTACTAATGATTGCTAAGAAGCCAGAAACAATATTGTATACGGTTGGTTATGGTCACAGACCGAAAGGCGATCAGATTCTATTTATCCTGGAATCCGTAGCATAAGTATTTGTAATTCACGACTCTGGAATCATCATGCTTTTGATATACAAGACCTTGCAAGAAGCCATGCCTCTATCAGCATATCAGATGTCTTCAGATTACGAGGCCATAGGAAAAGCTCAAACTAATTAAACCTTTTGAACTAGTATAAATTTGTCGTGTAAAACAGAATACCCATGCCATTATTTAGTGAAAAAAAAGCACTTCAAACGAATGAGAGATTCACGAGACACTACAGTATATTCAGATAAGAGATAGACCGGATGTAAACAAAAGGTTCGGGTGATTTTCACGCTAACGCCGCCGTCTCGACGTAAAACAGGAGCCCTCATTGGTCAATTCGCAATTAAATGCCTATGCCGAGCGGCAGAGCAGTCGTATCAAGGCAGAGTCACATTCAGGTTCAGACGTGTTACGTATGTCGTGTGCATCATTGCAATTTGATATTTCTTTGGACGTTTTCGTTTGTTATCTTATTAAGTTGTTGAGTTTGTCGTTGTTATTGTTATACCTTGTTATTGATTGTTATTGTTATCAATTGCTTGCGCAAAATGCCCAGTAGTACAGATACTGCCGATGAAGTTGTAAACTCCTGTAGTCCACCTAGGAAACGCTCTAAAAAAAGACACCTGAGTGCAGAAATGAAAGAGGTCATTTTGAATACTTATATATAAGATCGAGCGCGAGGAGAATGAGGCATCAACCATCAAAGAAATTGTTGTGAAGGTTTCTCACAAAGTTGGGGTGTGTCGCGCATCAGTGTTTAATGTGTTAAGACAATACAAAAAAAATCACACCTTTTCTGAGCCAATGACCAGTAAACATCGCAAAAGTATTGTTAAATCATTGGATGAAGCTGATAAGCATGCGATTAGGAGGAAAGTGCATGAATTCTTCTTTAGGAATGAAATACCTACTATAGATAAAGTACTGCAGGAGGTAAATGGAGATACAACGTTGCCAAATTTCAAACGATCAACTTTCCATGCGTTACTGAAGCATTTAAATTTCAAATGGAAAAAACGGGGTCGTAATAGTTTACTACTGGATAGAGAAGAAATTGTGCTATGGAAGAGGCATTATTTAACAAAAATTGGGAAATATAGAAATCAAAACAGGAAGATTTATTACCTTGATGAAACGTGGGTAAACGCAGGACACACTACAAGTAAAGTATGGGTTGATGATTCTGTAACTTCATCCAGGAGGGCCTTTCTAGATGGACTGTCCACCGGATTAAAAAATCCAGCAGGTAAATACGAGTAATAGACAACAATCGGATGTTTTTCAAACCTTGGGAACAAGGTTCTAAACATTAATTCCAGGGGGCAGATAAAACATATTACAAGTAACAAAACTTTTATAACTTTCGATAAAATGCGTGGATGTTTTATTGTCATTTTCATTTGTTAGAACTTTTTTAAGCCATGTTTTTATGTGTTTTCGATATTTCAATAATTTTTTAATATAATCTTAAAATATGTCGAATATTATAAACTTAAAAAAAGTTACTAAGTTTTATATTGTGTACCGTTCCTAATATTTCTAATCATTTTAATTCATACTTTAAGCTTTATAAAGTTATAATTTGTTAATATTAATATTTGCGCGTATTTCAGGTTCCTGATCATTCATTTTTTAAAGGTTTATAACTTTAAATTAAATTGTGAAGCGCTGAGTAATCATACGACGTTCAATATTCTTTCTTTCAATATGACTAAATAATCCCAATTATAGCAATCTGATACTCATGTCTCAATGTTTTTTCGCTGAATGTGATGAAAACATTTGAAAAAGGTTCGCTTATTGAAATAAATCTACACCAGTTAGTACTTCGATTTCCAGGTAAAGGGGCTCATTATCTGCCATATTGGCAGTGAGGATGGATTTTTTGTTGACGGTCTGTGGTGCTTTGAGTCTAAGAAAACTGGAGATTACCACGAGGAAATGAATGGCGAATCGTTTGAACAGTGGTTTTCAAAAATTTTACCGAACTTAGAGGAAAACGCAGTAATTGTGTTGGATAATGCGCCTTATCATTCTCGAAGAATGGAGAAGGTCCCAACAACGGCTTCAAGGAAAGTTGATGTTCAAAATTGGCTCCGCTCGAAAAATATCAACTTTGAAGAAGCAATGCTGAAAGTACAATTATTAAGAATTGTCAAGGATCACAAGGCGGAATATCAAAAATACGCCATTGACGAAATGGCAGCAGGTCAAAATAAAACTGTGCTCCGTTTACCTCCATACCATTGCGAGCTCAATCCCATTGAGCTCATATGGGCAGAGGTTAAAAATTATATAGCTAAGCACAATACAACTTTTAAATTTTGTGACCTCAAAGAAGACTTTTCAAAGAAGCACTAGAATTAATAACAGCGCAAAAATGGGAAAACTGTATTAAGCACGTGAAAGACAAAGTTGAAAAGAGAATGTGGGAACTGGACAATATTTTAGAGGAACAAGTCGAGCCATTCATTATTGACGTTGGTGCTTCAGGCAGTAGCGATGATGAAAGCTCATCAAGCTCATCTTTCCAATAAAAGATGTCGTTCATCAAATTCGGTAAGTTATAAGTAATTATAAAGCTACTGTATTTTTAATTAATTATTGACATTTTTGAACCCATTTTGGCAAAACCTATTCAAGAATCTACTTTCTGACAATGTTCAACCATGCACATTTTTTTACGTTTTGAACGTTTTAATTTGGTTACATATTTACCTAGAAATCAAAAAATATACTAATCAATATTCTAAAAGCAATTTTAAGAGATATACGATTATTTTTAATTTAGGCTAATTTAAACGCCATTTTGAGATTATATTCGACTGTATTTCACCAAACATCAGGCGGCATCCGAAGCTGGAAATCGAAGCGAAAATTTTGAAATCCTTATGTATATTTACATCAGTATATATTTCTTACCGCACCCCCACATGATCCTATATCCATCACCAATCGTATACACATCGAATTGTGCTAATTTACTACAAAGTTACGCAAAGCAGCATCTACTATCTAAAATATGTACTGCGTGACTCTTAATACGTCCCTGCCGAATGTTACAGCGTTCGATGATCACGTGGTCATGTTTATGTCCGGTCTATCTCTTATCTGAATATACTGTAGAGGGACTAGCTTGCAGTAGCAGTAGTTTCTAGCCATAGCTTAGGCTAGGACAAAATAAATCAATTTACATAAGAAATGCCATCCATGAGTAATTTTCCAGAAATAGCTTATACATATACATAGGTTATACACTGAGAACCAAATTTGTCTGACGGCTTGAGTTTAATGTGTACGAGAGGGAAGTGTGTATAGACTCATGTGTTAGAATGAGCAAAGTTGAATGTTGAAAATATGTATTAGTTTATTCTCTACGCCCAAATAATAGTTTTATTTTGAGCGTACACATTTTTGGATTGTGTCGAATTTGCTTAGGATCGATTTCCAATTGGTCCTATCGACGCTCCATTTTAGGTCGAAATGAAAGATCAGCATCACTGTCGCAAAACTCAGGATGTGTTGATTTTATCACCATCGGTGAAAATCAAAGATGATTCTAAAATAAATTAAAACACTTAGTCTGTGCGAACGTTTTCTGGTGTGACATATTGGTAACGCGGCAGATTTCACGATCTTCTGCGACATTGTTGCTAGGCGATGTGGTGATGACCTTCGCTCTTCAGCAACATGTGTTGGTACACACTTCTCGTGCTCCTGTCCCATAAACATTGAACTCAAGCCGTCAGACATCGAACGATAGTCTCAAAATTCACCATCAAGATCCAGCATGGCAATGTTACTCCTCAATCTCTGCACAGCCCTCTCTGGAAACGTCATCAGCTTGTTGTTCCTCAAACTCAAAACCCTCAGTCTCGGCATCCCGTTGAACACTGGTCCCTTCACCCCACATATTTCGTTGTTGTCCATTTTGAGCTCCACCATCCATTCCATCTTTTCCAACACACCGTTGTTTAATCTTGTTACGCGATTGTTACTCAGGTCCAATACCTCTAAAGAGGTCATGCTCCTCAAACCAATATCCTCAATGTCGAATATTTGATTATAGCTTAAGTTCAACATAATCACCTGTGGTACCAGATTGAATGCTTTAGGAGCAATGGTTCTGATATAGTTCTCTTGCAGCTCTACTGTCTGCAGAGAAGGAAGCTTATTGAAGGCAAGATTCGGAATTTCTTTTATTTTGTTCTTGTTAAGTTTGATAGACTTTAGTACTGGCAGGGCTCTGATGGCATTTGGTTCTATGATCTCCACTTCATTGTTATCCAAGTGCAAAGTCTTGAGATGAGCTAGATTATGGAATGTACCTTCTTTGACCTCCTGGATGAAGTTTCTACTAAGCTTCAATGACTTCAAACTAGTCAGTGTACTCAGTATATCGGGATCTATATTTTTAATCCTGTTGTGGGTTAAATCTAGCTTCTTCAAAGTTCTGAGGTTTTGGAAGGTCTTGGGAAGCTGTACCAAAACATTTTCTGAAGCATCAACGCTCTCTATTTCAAGGTTCTTATCCAAGGTGCCAGCAAGCAATTCGGGTAAGGAATTTCCGCTTATATCAACTCTTCTCAATTTTGGGGAGAATTTCAACAAATCTGGTACTAACAAATCTAGATGATTTTTCTTCAGAACAATCTGCTTCAACTCTGGCAAAGATTTGAAAGCATTTGGATGAACCTCAGTGAGTCTGTTGTCCCTTAAGTCAAGTATCTCTAAGTGAGACATACCTTCAAGCACGTGTTCTTCTATCTTTTTCAACAAATTATCTCCTAAGTACAAACGCTTAAGATGGGGTAGTGTTTTAAAGGTCCCTACACCGATATTCTCTATTCTATTTGAACTTAGATCCAACGACTTCAGAGCAGGAAGATCTAGATCTGGAGAATGCAAGTGTGGTATGCGCTGAATTTCATTATGGTGAAGTTGAAGATGCTCTACACCTCTCGGCAATCCTGGTACGAACTCTAGCAACTGATTGTGGCTCACGTCTAACTCATACAAGTGTAGAAGATGCCTGAATGTTGCAGGATGTAATACTTTCAGATGATTGTAGGAAATGTTGACATGTTCTAGCGATGGTGTGGGTAAAAATGCTGTTTGCTCTATCATAGTGAGTTCATTACCACTCAAATCCAAACGCCTAAGGGATGGTAAGTTTTCTAAGAATGTAGGTTCTAATTTTCTTAAATAGTTCTGTGACAAGTCTAAACCTTTGAGCGCAGGTAAATTCCAAAATGGTCCTGGAAATATGTCAGTGAGCGAGTTATTCTTCAACCTCAACTCTCTTAAAGCAGGCATTGCCATAAATGCTTCCTTCCCGATTGACCTCAGCTTATTATAGTTCAAATTAATATGTTCTAATGTGGCATGGCCCCTTAAGGCACCACCTGGTATCGACTCCAAGTTGTTATAGCTCAGATCCAGGAATATCAGTCTTGGTAAGGCATCTAGAAGAGATCTAAGCTCAGCTACATGGTTGATATCATTGCTGACCAAAAACAGTTCTTCTAAGCCGCTACCAGATTGTTGTAGAAAGCTCTCGGGGTGAATCCTTTTCACCACGTTGTTGTTCAGATTTAATGTTCTCAATTCTGGAACTCTATGAAAAGCTCCATGATGCAATTCCATAATCATGTTGTGTTCCAGAGATATCCTCTTGAGAGAAGGGATGTCTACGAAGGCAGCCTCACCTACTCTGTCAATCTGATTGTGGTCTAACACTATGCTTTCTAGTTGTGGGAGATCTCGACTTCCTCTACCAACTATACCGGCATCTATAAACTTGGTACCAACAAATCTGAGTTCTTTGAGCTCAGGTAGTGCTGTTAAAGCCCTTGGATGAATCCAGTTGATACCACTATTCGTGATGTTAATGAGATCAAGCTTTGGGAGATCAGAAAACGTGTTCCCCTCTAGTCTAGTCAATGCTGGGCAGTTAGTTATGTGAATTTTCTCCAAACTAGGATTGTTTTTGAAGTTAATAGGATTAAGCTCAAGCAAAAGTTGTGACTCTATCTGAATATATCTCAACTTAGGTAGATCTGATAGTAGTGGACACCTCTTCAACAATTTGGACTGAATAGTAACAGCTTGCAGAGACATAAGCTTGGATAAGGACTCATCGGGAATGCTTCTCAGCTGAGGCTCCACAAGAAAAATCTCCATGAGACTGTCCTCAAGACCGGCCAACCAGTCTGTAGAAAGTCTTTCAAGTGCATTTTGGCGTAGCATAAGTCTTAAAACCTTAAGAGAGGTGAAGGCTCTTCCAGGAAGAGACGGTAGGTAGTTGTTTTCCAAGATTAGTTCGTCGATGGGCTCTTTGATGTGTTTTGAGAGAGATCTGAGGGAGTCGAGGACCCTTGGTAGGTCGCTGTGGGAGCACCTGAAAAAAGAGTTTATAAAGTTACTTTATATCACTTCGTCATTATTTTAGGATATCCATGCTTCTAGACAAGTAAAAACGATATGTTTGTTAATGCTAATTTAATTACAGTGCCGTAAAGTCAATTAAGCCGGATTTTCATACACTATTTCACTAGTTGATAGGAATACTTGACATCATATCATTGATCTAGCTGGTAACGTTACAAATAAGAATTAGGTAATGTTTGGCATCTGGATACACTTTGTTGATTTTCATGAAGATATATAACTTTTGTCTTGAACAGTGTGGACATGCCAATATGAGATGTGTATTCAGAATATGTGATGTCTTTCATTGTATCCAGTCTTAGCACTTACTTTTTTCTCAAAAGGAGAGCCTTCCTACCATCATCTGTCATAAACAGTCCTGTTTTAGTACCATAGTTTGATTTTCAAAAATATTTTTTTTTGTGATGGCGGGTTAAACATTTTACTTCTGAGAACACTTTTTTGACAATATCTCTTTTTAGACTCATTATTCGATCAAAATAGCTATATACCAAATTAAACTTGAAGGAATTTTCTACAAGGGGTAAAATTCATATTTACAGGAGTTACTCTAATATGATATACAGGATTCCATGATTCGGTAGTTTTACCATGACCATTTTTGGAAAGAATTTCGATTGTATTTTACGGCTGGTGCCTATATCATTGCCATACAACTTATAAAAACAGAGTAGTACCTAAGTTGTAAGATTTTTTCTTTAATCAAGTTTGTCAGACAAATATTTTCCTCCCTGTAAGATGATCAACATTTTATAGGTCGCCATGTTTCCACTATGGTGATGCTAGAGGCAAGGATAAGAGGTATAAAAGTCACGTCAAAATATAACAAAGCAGTTGTTTTTAAAAAAATTCTAAAACTTCCCATGTAAAGCTATCAATTCGTAACGTTTTTGGAATAATAATAATAATAATAATAATATTTATTTACTCTAAAATACAGGGAACATGAAACGAGTAAATAAATATAATATATCCATAGGAGGACAACGCCTGTGCATGGATCATATGTATGTTGAATTGCAAAATATAATAAAATAGAGAGAAAAAAGAGATTATTGGTAAGAATGGTAGAGCATTTATTGTGTAATATTTGAGAATATTTTATTAATTTGATTTCTCCCAATCGTGTTAATAAATTTTTTTAATTTTTTTTTGAAGCCTAATGTATTGCGTAATTGTTTTAAATTATTTGGTAAATGTTCGTACAATTTTGGAGCTATATACAGGTGACATCGTTTCATTAGGGATTTGTTTGGCTTAGGAACATTTTTTGCGCGTAATTTATATCTGGTTTTATGATTATGTTTAATTATGTCGTGTTCACTAATAGTTTTGTGATAATGAGTGATGGTATGTAAGAAGTAAAGTTGTTTAGTATCATATACTTGTGCATCATTATATAAGTCATTAGTTGGGTATAATTTTGATTTGCCTAACATTGATTTTAAAATTCGTCTTTGAAGTACATCTAAATCGTTAAAGTATGTCGTGCATGCAGCACCCCACACTTCTATACCATATGTTATGTGTGGCTCGACTAAAGCTTGATATATTATTCGTAGATAATATTCAGTTAATATACCGGTTAGAAATTTTATTTTATATGCTATGAATCTAATTTTCTTTAGTATGTATATATATATATGCATACCATATTTGATATTCTTCTTTCTTGACTATGCACCGACAGGGTAAGATGGCTTCTTGAGGTGGACATCGCTTCTCTGATCTCACTGCCGCAATGAATAACAGCAATAAAATGCCCCTCACGCCTACAAGCATATTTGTCACGTGGTCTCATAGTACTTCACAAACATGTCACAACACTAGAGAACTATACTCAAATTGTCCGGTAAAGTAGTATTATCTGAAACGAAAAAAGAAATATCAATACAAGTTGACTCATTTATTTATATTATCCCAAGCAACTTGAGGATTATGTTATAATCATGATACAAATAATGCATTGGAACTTTTAAAAATAAATATCTCGAAAACTATTAGCTTTAGGCACTTCTAACAAGTAAATCTATTTTGTTGACGAAATACAAAAAAATAAGATTTTCCAGTCAGTTGTTGTATACAGGGTAGCACAAAAAAGTTATGAAAGGTTATTTACCGAAATAGTGCTGTAAGTAGCGCCCTGTAGAAGTTTGGCCATAAGAAATAACAGATTCTTGTTTCTCATACTAAAAAACCTTCCTACACCGAGTTTTATGCCAAAATCTAAAATACTTCTCAAGCAATAAGCAAAAATAGAAAATAACACCCTGTATGACACCCTGTATCTCGCAAACTATCAACTTTTGGACTGAGGTATGTTTAGGTCAATTCGCATATTTTGGTCTGTAGTATCTCCAGTTTCGAGATTTCCCAACCTTGCACAGAGTATGTTAAAAACTAGTACAATATTATCTAAAAATCTAGTATGTATTGATCAACTGACGTCGTCGTTAAGTTTCTCTTAACTAAGTGGGTTTCTACGAACTAAGATCTAATGATACATTACAATCGGTTCCTTCTTTGTTGATTATTGTCTGCCAATTAAGCATAAAGAAATCATTACTTCAACTTCTTCAATCAAATAAGATTAGATTTTTAAGGCAGAAATAATGAATCAAGAATTTTATCATTAGTCGAAAGTAAAATTTTCTCGTTGAACAAATATTGAACTAATTTTTCCAATGGTTACTAAATAATTTTAGGGAAGGTCGTTCCATGCTATAAAAAATAGTCAATATGCGTACACCATATTCATGGATGTATGCAAATAACCCGCACGGGTATCATGTAAAAAAACCTACAAAACGTCACAGACAGACAGACAGACTAGGTAGTTTTTAGGGCGCAAACAGTCATTCCACGTTTGCTCACTAGGATCGTTGTGAACGACCATCCATGGAGGAATCACTCAACTAAATTACGCATTATTGGTTGCATAGTTTTGTGAGGCTGAGTGATCCGGCTCTGTAGTTTTTATCTCTGAGAAGAAAGTTGGTTGAATAGCAAGATCGCTTCTGTGTGAGAAAATCATTACCGAATATGCCGAATATGACGGGTTATTTATATGTTGTGCTTTCTGAACAGAGTTTATGTTCAAAGTTATAAATTACAAAAAACTGAGGAGAATTACGGGAAATCATCACCGCGCCCGCGTTGTGTGTAATTACTGTTAGCATGTATATGGCTTGTAATTCGACAGTGTAGGTACAGTGAATATAATTATTTCTTATCTCTCTCATTTTTGAAATTCATCAAATTTGTATATGTAATTACCAGAATGGATATGAAAAAGTAGATGCGCAACTAATTTCTAGCGTTGATTCTCAATTAAGTGTATTTGAGACAAGAACCCAATGTAATTATCATCAACACATACAACTTACAGCTTAGACCTCCAGTAATGCCATCTCGGAAGCAGATTTTACATCACATCAGAGCCAAAGATTGATAAAAAGCCTCATGACGTTTAGGCAAAACGTACAACTATTGCTAAGTTAACATCTTGTAGAATAACCTACATAATGTCAAAAAAAAACAGCATAATGTCAAAAAAAATCGGCATAATGTAACTTTTCAAGATACGTGATACCCGTGCCGGTATCCCGTTAGTAAAAGTTTTGAAGTTATAATGGATCCGCAGGGGTATTATGTGAAAAACGAAATGTCATCTTGCAGATTAGGTAGTTTTTAATGTGCAAATAGTGCATTCCACGTTTGCTCGCTATCATCGCTGTTCGCTGACGTGTAAGCTACACGTACAGCTACAAAACGAGTTCACAACAAGCGTGTGCTAAGTTAACATCTTATAGAAAAACCTAGTTATATCACAAAAAACCTATGAAATGTCATCAAACAGATTATTAATTATTTGCTTCGATTTTTTGGAATGTCTCATATATACATTCAGACCTACCCTTCTAAAAGAAAAGGACTGATAGACTATGATGTCTTGATGAATAGTTGTTTATTTACAAGCGATTCAATTTACGAAAACTTCCAATTTTGACAGCCTAGCAATCCGCTATTTTGAAAGATAGCGATTTAATATAAGCTATAACGTGCTCATAAGGAGCTCCAAGATGAGGCACGTCACCCCTCATTGGAAAAATGTTATACGATGGCGCCCAGCTGCCAGCTTGAAATTTTCAATTGTTATTTTCACGTAATATAGTTTTCATGCGTCAGTTTCAGCATTCCAGATTCCCCTTACTTGACCAGTTTAAGAAGTAAGTAGACGGGAGGACCTTTCTCAAAAGCACTGTGTACTTTTTACCATTAAACAACTCATTAGAATGTTTTTTCCGTGCTTTTTTCATCTTAAACAACATACAGGGTTTGTCCGGAAAGTAATAGGACTTTCTTCCGCCATGACTGTCCTTCGGAGCGTGCGATTCGGTAGAGGGCGTTCCTAGCTAACGAATGAGAGGCTGGTCAGTTGTCTCCGAGCACGTGGAGAGTCAGGACATCATTTTCTCGCGACGTGTTTCTGTGAGTGGTGCAAGCCGAAAATTCAGCGTTCGTTAGAGCAGAGGTACGCGATTAAATTCTGTGTTGGAAATCGCGCTGGTAGCGCTGCATCGACGCAGAAGGAGCCTATTTTGAAAGTTTTTAACGAATTGTAACGATTAAATAAATAAATAAATAAAAACGCCTTTATTTTGGCTATATTGGCTATATTGGCTCAATAAATTTTTTTAAATCGACTCAGTCCTATTTCTTTCCGGACAAACCCTGTATGCTGCCAAAGTGATGGTAAACAGGGCTGAGATGAACACAATAAGATTTTCATCGTCCACAAATTCTTGTATACAGGGTTATCCAAATTAAGTGTCCACCATTAGTAACTTTGTTATTAGTGAAAATACAAAGTTGTTTGAATTAGCAAACTAGTAGCATTTTTAACGCTGGTAAAAATGAGAAATAAAAAAAAACAATTGAGAGTCGTTATTTTGATTTTTTTCAGTAAAATAACATTTTTTTAAATGGAAACCCCTGTATATTATATTTTTTTCTGTTAAAGCATCAAATTTTAAACAAAAAAGCTTACAATAACTTTTCTCCTAGGTTACAAATTGTTGAAGTTATGGCCTCCAATCTGAAACAATTAAATTGTATCGACAAACTTTATTTTCAACATCAACTTATAATCTTACAAAATACAATAACAATTTTTTTTTAAGAAGATGCTCGAAAACACCACCTTGTTCTTCAATACATTTTTGGGCACGTTTTTCAACTGCTCGAACTGTCTTAAGTATGGTCCTACCATCTATCTGGGTTATCTTTTCCCTAACTGCAGTCTTTAACGCGTCAAGGTTATCGTACCTTCGCTTGTAAATTTGGTTCTTTAAGTAACCCCACAAGAAGTAATCAAGTGGGTTTAGATCTGGTGATCTGGGAGGCCACTGTATTGGGCCATTTGTTCCTATCCACTGATCATTAAAAGTAGTACTTAGAAAATGATAAGTACCTCTGGAGTTGTGGGCAGGTGCGCCATCTTGCTGAAAATGCAGATGATGTTTACTTATAAGATCCAATTCGTCTAAGAAATTAGTCAGAATTTCTGACATAAATTCCACATATCTTTCACCAGTTAGGGTTCCCTCATAAAAGAACGGGCCAACAATTTTTGAACCAATTATACCGCACCAAACGTTGAAACTGAAACGGACTTGTGGGCCTCTTGGATGTACTAACAAAAGATTTTCTCTTGACCAATAATGGTGGTTTTTTCTATTAAACATTCCAGAATTTGAAAAATTTGATTCATCTGTCCATAAAAGGTAACGAAAGTTATTTACATTTTGGCGACAGAAGCTAAGATACCAATGGCAAAAAACAAGTCTTCTCTCTGGATCCCCTGCCAAAAGCGTTTGAACTGGTCGGTACTTATACGGAATAAATTTGTATTTTTTTAAAATCCTTTGAACAGTACCATAACTGAAATTAGAGTCCTTGAGGATATCTGCTATTGAATTCTCACGATAAGCTTCAAAATATCCAATAACTGCAATTTCCGTGGCCTCGCTTATTATGAATTCTTTTTTTGCCCTTGTTTTAGCAAAAACATTTTCGTTGCCCCTAAATTTTCGATACAGTCTCAGAAAATATCGTTCATACGGTTGAATGCGAGCGGGATATAATTCACTAATGCTCTCAAGGAGGATTTTCTGCAGACTAAATAGCATTCTAACATATCACACTTTTCTTCATGGGAGAACATTTTTCTTTAAATTAATGACACAATAAAGCTTATAAACAAGTATTTACACTAATGTTTGGTATTATTTGATTTTATCATTGTTTTCCAAAGCCTTCTAGTTGCGAGTATGTCCAGTTTAACAATTTGTCGCTTATCTTAATGCTGTCAAATCGCGAACGCCATGTTGTTTTCATAGCCGTCTTAATATTATAATACTGCAAATAATTAAAAATATTTATCGTTATTTTGACTTTATTTTTGACTTTAGCGGAAAAGTCATTATGAACTTTTTTGTTTAAAATTTGATGCTTTAACAGAAAAAAATATAATATACAGGGGTTTCCATTTAAAAAAATGTTATTTTACTGAAAAAAATCAAAATAACGACTCTCAATTGTTTTTTTTTTTATTTCTCATTTTTACCAGCGTTAAAAATGCTACTAGTTTGCTAATTCAAACAACTTTGTATTTTCACTAATAACAAAGTTACTAATGGTGGACACTTAATTTGGATAACCCTGTATGGCTCTGCGTTACTCATAATATTGTATCATCCAAAGAAACCTGAAGAAAATTGAGAAGTGTAGCAAAGCAGGCATTTCCTCTTGCTTCGGCAAGAACGTCGCGTCGTAAGCTTTCTACCGAAGAACAAAGTGAGGAACTTGCAAATTAACAATTAAAAGTGTGTAAGATAACGCAACCAGTTGAAAATGAAACGATGTTGTGATCACTTTCACTTGATGCAAGCTAAATAGGCCGGAGATTCACTTCATCGTAAGTCAAGCGTTATACATTTATATTGATTGACAAGTTATATATCATAGCGGGAAGTGGACAGAACCTACAATTTGTCGATGATCGCAATGTAATGTACCAAGACAGACCAACAGCCCAAAGCCCAATATCATGAGATGAGGAATTAGTCCTGTAAAAGCTTTTCACAGCTGCTATTTGTGTGTTATTTGGACCAAGTACTAGAGTAAATGCAGGTAATTTGGAATACCAGTTTGTAAAACAATCATACTCACCAAGGGTTGAGAGCAACAAGAGTGAAAACCACACTTACAGTAACTGAAACTAGTGTATTAATAGCATAAAAATAAACAACAGTCTTATTCTTCTATAAATGGCATAAACATTGGTTTATATATAAAATCACTGAAAGGAATATGGTATTCCAAATTATGTTCACTTTTAAATAATAGACTTTTAACTTAAAGTTCAGTTCTGAAATCTATATAAGTCTTACTTAAACTCTTAAGACTATATATAGACTTTTCTATTCTTTGCAAAAATCGCACACATAGTAACCGTCGTCATAGCCAGCGCATTCGCTATGCAACCATCCTTCGCACATGAGACATTGGACCAATTCCTCTCCCCTTCGATCATCTGCATATTTTCCATCGCAAAAGAAACAAGTGCAATCATCTTCTGTTGGTTGTTTCACCTGATCTTCCTTGGGTAATTCCTCTTCTGACTCGTCCGACTTGAATGTAGCATCACTATCAGAGTCCGTAAACTCATCTTGTAATATCATTCTTTTAGCAGCAGTCTTACCCTTACGTTTCTCTTTTTCATCAATTTCTTTACCTTTTCTCTTTTCCTTTTCTTTTTCTTGCTCTTTCCCTTTATTTACTCCTTTTCCCTTGCCCTTGCTGTTCTCTTTGCCCTTTCCTTGAACTACATGTTTATCCTGATCTTCATTTTTAGTTAGTTTTTTCTGCCTTTCAATCCTTCTCTTTTCTGCTTCCTCCAGTTCGTTTTTATAAGGTGAATTTGAAATAATTTCAGATTTTCCCGATTTGCGACCTCTATTAGATGTGCGTTTCCTAGTTGTGGGAATAGGCGAAATATCAAACGGTGTGGTAACGGAGCCACTATGAGAAGGGCCTGGGCGGTTTTCTTTTTCCTGTTCTAATAACGCTGAAGTATTCGGTTGTTCTTTGTGATTTATTGAAGTATCACAAGGGCTTCCAGGCTGAATAATGGACGGTGACAGATTTGTGATTTCAATTCTGCCCTCTTGACAGTTTGCGCTGAGATGACATGGTTCTGTTATCGATGGAGGTTCATCTGGCAGTTCACTGATGTTTGATTGATCTTGTTTTACATCATGAGCTGCTGCGACATAGTCTGAATCTGTGAAGACGTATCTATTAAAGGGATAAATTCCCCCGATACTGAAGCCTCTAGCTGCAATTTCTCCAGTCTGGCATTTACGATATGCTTTACCAAATAACTCTACAATATCATAAGCTGTAAGGGGTCTATTATTTTCGCGCAACCACACCCGAATTTCCTCGCTATAATAGGTCTTAAGGGGACCCATGAAGGACTTATCCATGGGCTGAATCTTATGTGTACAGTGTGGTGGCAGTGAAACCAAGGTTACGTGATTTTGTCTCGCTTTATCTATGAGCTCCAGGTTTTTTGTATGACTAAAGTGACCATCGAACAAGAGAAGAACTGGTGCCGCAGCAGATGGTTTCACATAGTCAATAAGATGCTGGAACCATTGAGTGAACAAATATGTCTGTATCCAACCAGATGGATGTGCCCGTCCAATCGATCCCACAGGTGCGCCTTTCATTAAAATTTCGCTCATATTTTTGCGGGGGAAAATTATCATTGGCGGAACAAAAATCCCAGCAGGACTCATACAGGTCACTATTGTAATGAGCCAACCCCCTTTCAGCGGACGTTATGGCTCCAATTTGTTTTTTGCCGCGACGAGCAATTATTTTAGGGTATTTAGATTGGACAATAGATAGTCCTGTCTCATCGACATTGAAAATACGATCAGCAGTAAATTTTTTCTCATCGTAAACTTTGTCAAGGTTATCGTAGAACTCGTTCATTCTTTCTTTCGTAAATCCGCTTGCTCTAGCAAATGATGTCTCAGAAGGCTTCCGCATTGATAGTATTTGCCTATGTCTTGAGAGAAATCCTTTTAGCCAGTATCTGCCAGCTTTTTCATCCTTAAATGGATTCGACAGATTATTTCTGATAGCAAGTTGGTACGCTATTCTTCTCATATCCATTTGAGTCAAACCATATAATTTATCTTCCATTATAAGGGCGTAATTTACTAGCATGTCCTCAAACGCTTTATCAAAGAGTGGTTTGCGACCAATCTTTTTTGAAAGAAGTTCTGGCATTGAAAGTTCTGTTTGATTTGCAAGCCGAAATACAGTAGTTCTCGGTACGTTATAAGTCTTCGCTGCCTTCAAATACCCCATCTTTTTTTCTCTCTCTCTTCTTCTTGTACTGCAGCAGCCATATCTTCTTCAGACCACTTCTTTCGTTTTTTGTATCTGTTAGTGGAAGAGGGCATTGCTAAAACAAAAAACAATCAATTATAAAGAAGCCACAAAGCAGAAAATACGAAAAAGAAACGTATGTGCGCTAAATGTGCATATAATTCGGAATATTCCAAATTCACTCCACCTGCCGTATACCAAATTAACAACAAACCTTACCTAACCTTAAAATGTTGTGATATATTTATATCTACAATTTGTAGCAAAATAAGCATTAATTTCAATAATTAATATACTAAACTGTGTATTTGTATCAGTGTAAACATCTGAATATGCTTAAAAGTTGAAATGCGAATGGATTACTTACTTATTTAAAAAAATTCACAAACAGTACTTCCACTTGTACGATAATTGCCACGACACTAACAACACAGCGCCCTCTAAGCCACGGCTTATTCGTTGACTGCTATGTAGACTATCTGATACCGATGTTTCTTAAAAGATATCGCTGCTAATAACTTAGTTTCTCCAGTATTCCAAATTGCCAACAGTATTCCAAATTACCTGCATTTACTCTACTTTATCGTTTGAGAAATAAGTTTGACAGAAGCCACATATTTCCATTTCTTTAGAACAAGTTTGTAAGCTTATTGGAGATAAAAAAAGTTGTATTACATATCCACGATAGAGTAATACAAAAATTCAAAGTAGACCTTAGGTAAATAAAAATTGACCGTACTTTACCACTGTGTGCAGGTATTTGAAGTCATTGCATGGTAACAATATGAACATTTCTTGTAAAGGAATAATAATGGATCAATTTAAAACGACGGACGCTAAAGTTAATTTATCGCCCGGAGAAGTAGAGACGCCCGTATGCTGGACAAGTTGGTCTCAAACCGGAAACCCTATTTATAAGGTATACTTTACCGCCCTGTCGTAGATAATAGTTATTCATGTATCTAGAGCGTAAAACGGGCGGTTATGGCCCGCGGCATGAAACTAGAGCTAATGGACATAAGTATTACAAACTTCAGGGCTATGACGTAAAACATCGATTTCAAATTCAAATTCAAAGTATTTATTTTGTCATGAATAAAGATCGTAAACAAAGGAAATTCTCCATGTAGAGCAATGACGAAAAAGGACAGTCTCTCGATTATAAAACCGATACATTGGACCCTTTAATACAAAGAGTCCATGCGAGAAAGCCCTGAATACCCTAAAAGTTCTTAAACAAAATAAAAAATACAATAAAGAGGCAAATGAAGAGGCGGTGAAACACAAAAAAGGCAAAAACGAAGAGAGAACCCCCGGGAGCTGGCAACGGACGCGAAAAACAAATCTATACAACCTGTCCGCGAGTAGGAATGTAAAAACGATATTTTTGCTCACACAAACGCTGCTAAAGTAGCTGGTGATTCTGTAACAACGTTTTTGTCAGTTTTGAGAATGTTTTTGACGATGAGCTTTCAACTGAAGTTCGTAAATTATTCTACAAGTGAACCGCCACATAAGCAAACGATCGTCGAAAGGAACGCGTTCTATCCCTAGGTACGATAAAATTGAGATTATTTCTGCTCCTTTGGGCACGCGGCAAAGTCACATATCTTTCTCTTAAATAGGGCGGTTGACCTGTTTTTATAACCCTATAAATAAAAGAATACATATGATATTTTCTGCGATTCGTCATGTTTAAATGTTGTAGTTATTCAGATGAGGAGTGATATGGTTTCGATATGGAATTCCAAACGCAAATCTCATGCAACTATTTTGAACTTTTTGTATGCATTTTATGGTTCACGGCGATAGCGAATCACCATAAACGATATCTCCATAGTCAAAAAGTGATAAAATTAAGGTATTACACAAATAGTATTTTTGTTTGGCTGATAAATGCTTTTTTAATTTCTTAGTCGCATGTAAGCTAAATTTGTTCTGTTTTTTATATGACTTCTAAAGCCAAGCGAGCTATCAAATATAATGCCTAGATTTTTTGTCTCCTGAACCATGGGGATTCTGTCATTGTTAATTGAAATTACTAAATTTTGTTCAAAATGTTCTACTTCATTACTGTTTTTATCAATAACCATTACTTGCGATTTTGAGGGGTTTAGTTTAAGATTGTGATGCTTTGCAAATCTGTCAATACTTTAGAGATCTGAATTTAGTTGTTGTGAGTCATCTGCATATTATTTTATCTTTGCGAATTTTACCGATTTGACCATGTCAGGTATGTAGATTGAAAATAACAAACGAGATAAAATTGGTCCTTGAGGAACTCCTCTTTTTATAGGTTTAAAATCGGTTTTGTAAATAGCGGAATCATTTGCTAACATAACACAGTCTGAACGGGGTTGCTTAAGTATGTTTTTATTAGATTTACGGAACTCTGCGAAAACCCCTGGTAATGTAACTTGGCTAGTAAGATTTCATGATTCAGAGTGTCGAACGCTTTATTAAAATCGAGAAGAACCATGCACGTACTATTTTTTTGTTCTTGATGATGTCTGATATCATCCAAGATATTAACTAATGATGTACTTGTGCTGAAGTTTTTCCTAAAACCAGATTGACTATCGGGTATGATATCGTTTGTGTCACAAAAAAATCTAATTTGATTATAAATATGCCTTTCTAATATTTTGGATGTGGCGGGTAATATGCTAATAGACCTCAAGTCTGTAAATTCTTTAGGTTCTGCTGTTTTTGGTAAGTATAATAGCTTTCTTCCATATTTCTGGAAATAATCCCTCCAAAATACATGTGTTGATTATATTCAGCAAGGCATTCGTACAAAATGGGATACATAACTTTAGGTCTCTCATAGAGAAACCATCCTCTCTAATGGCATTTGGTGAGATATTCGTTACAATTTTGATTAGACTGGCCCTGTCTAACAGTTGGAAGCTAAGAGAATCGTTAATGTTTACATTGTTTTTGTAAAAATTGATTAATTCTTGGGAAGCAGTGTCTGGTAAATTGTCGGTCATATACATTTTGTAAGTGTTCGGGTATCGTTGAGTGAGTTTTCTTTGTTGAGAGTAAGTTAAAGAATGCATTTTGTCTCGGATAATTACATGCTTTGTATAGTTCCTTAGTTGTTTATAGTATTCAAAATGAGCCTGTGGTTTGGATTTTAGAAATTTTTTATGAGCTTTATCTCTTAGTCTGATTAAAAATCTTATATTTTGAGTTATCCAGGGTACATAAGGTTTTTCGGCTATTTGTTTTGTTTTTATCGGAGCGGTTACTATATTTTTATTAAAGGCTTCTGTTTCTTGGTCGATTTGGTTTATATAGTAGAAACCCTTCATTTAAGAAGGACTCTCTATTTATATTATTGTAGTCTCTATATTTAATAGTCTTTTGTGATTCATTTATTTTTGACTTTCGAAAGGCTGAGTAAATTAAATTATGATCTGAGTGATTTTGAGAAACCGCCAATGATTTAGAATCAATAGAGATAAGATCCTCACTAGCACAGATTATATCAATGAGGCTAGCCTCTCTTGTGGAAAAATTGAATCTTGTTGGCTCACTGATCCTTTGTGATAAGTTAAAACTGAGAATTATATTTTTGAGGCGATTTGTGTATGCAGAATTATTTAAAATATTAATATTTAGATCTCCTATCAATAATAAATAATCATATTTGAGACTGACAAGACCGAGAAAATTTTCTAAGGAATCTAAAAAATAAGTGACACTCTCAGAAGGCGAACGATAACTATTAACTAAAAGATAAGTTTTTCCACCTATCTTAAATTCTATACCTATGTTTTCTGCACATTTGATTTGCACATTTAACCTTGAATATTTCAACCCGCTTTTTATGTATAAAGCTATTTATAAGGTATAGTTTACCGCCCTGTCGTAGATAATAGTTATTCATGTATCTAGAGCGCCAAACGCGGCATGAAACTAGAGCTAATGGACATAAGTATTACGCACGGCAAGGCTATGACGTAAAAAATCGATTTATTGTCATAAAAAATATGTAAAATGTCAACATGTGCTAGTGCTAGTCGCTAATCAACACCACGCACACTCGCTGTTGACGCCACCTATGGAAGAATGAAACAACGATCAACAGTATAGAATTTACAACTCGAGCCATAGAAGATGTAAATGACATCCACTAGTGCAGCAGCAGATGTTACATCACATCAGAGCGAAGCCAAAATGGCTCAAGTGTCAATATGAAACAACCACAACTAACAAGTGAAGTGAATGACAGCTAGTTCCAAGGTGTTTTTTTTTTCCGGAAAACCCTACAAAATGTCACTAAAAATCGGCTAGCAATAAATAAATGAGGACTGCTTCCGTAATTGCCATATTGTGCTCCATATAGATTAATACAAACGTAGACGTCGCTAAGGTTACTTTACCACCCTAAGATCCAAAGAAGTCCGTGGGCTTCTGCCCAGGAAACCTATGCATAAAGTACACGTAGCCACCTGATCGTAGATAATAAGCATTTATGGCTCTTGTTGTGGGAGCGCATTATATATCTCGGAAACCACTTTACACCTTAGATACGTAAATAACTACTATTTTCTCACCCGCATAACGATAAAACATTCTCATCTTTTTTCGAGGTTGCAATCTGATCTTCCAAAATTCATCCATAAAGCCGATACGTTGTTTCTTTAACTAATTATGCGTGAGTAATTTTATTTCATTGCGGTAGGTAAGTGATTGAACATGGGGATCATGACGTATTAGATACAGTTATGTCCACAGCCTTGTTATCTTCAGTGATGTTGCTCATATGTTTCCAGTTGTAATGAGGATTCGTTGAGCGGAACTACCGTTTACAATGTCACACAGTGTGTTAAAAATTACTGTTATTACTGAAATAACAGACATACACAGCAGCCAGAAACACGTTCATA